GTACGAATGCCTCCGATCGTTCCCCAATGACCTGCATTGTGTACGTTTTTGACAATGGGTAACGTGTCTAACGTGTTATAGGGCCGCGATTGGATTATATTATGTTAAAGTATACGGTCTCCTCTGTAAGAAAGTTTTTATTACTTTTAGATGTATACTGTTATCAATTCTAAAAGGGTGTAAGCAACTCGCCTATATGTATCATCCTAGGGGTATCTTAGTTATACAAAGGGTACTTCAAAATTATCTTAACAATAATATGTACACAGTTTTTGTCTTAATATTATTACTTATATGCATGGATGTCGAACCAAATCCAGGACCAACTAGTCATGAGTTGTCAATCTTCCATTTAAATATTCGCAGATTTAGAAACAAAATAGATTACATAATGGACTTAGCAAATGATTACAATGTTATGTCATTGACTGAAACTCATCTTGATGATAATATACTAACTCGTGATTTAGAATGACAAGGTTTCAGCGAACCTTTTAGGGCCGATAGGAATTATGCTGGTGGTGGAATACTAGTGTATGTTTCGTCACAGATAAAAGCTACCAGACGTTTAGACTTAGAGTTTCCGAATGGCGAGTTAGTATGGATACAACTTGAATTTACACGTAGTAGAATTTTATTATGTACCGTATATAGACCTACTAAAGCCAATAATATGTTCTGGGAACAATTTCGTACTTCAATAGAAAAAGCAATGGATTCATCGGCTAAGCTTGTTATAATAGGTGACATAAATGTAGACATGCTAACTGTTTCTAGGCAACACGTTTTATCGTATATTTTAACCAGTTATAATCTGAGAAATGTTATAAATTCTCCAACACGGATAACCAATAATAGTGCAAGTCTTCTTGATCCTCTCATTTTTTCGGAACAGATTACATGTATCGAATCATCAGTCTTACCTATAGATAGGAATATCAGTGATCATGAAGCATGCTTAGTATATATAGAAGTTTTAATTAGATTAAATTTATCTTATAAACGTGAAATATGGTGCTATAATCAAGCGGATTTTAATGAACTAAACAGGCAAATTGAACTTTTTTCTTCAAATGAAATGTTTATAGAATCGGAAAGTATTGATGAAGCATGTAACAAGTTTACTAATACATTTAAATCTATGGTTAGTGCATGTATCCCCAAAAAAGTTATTAGCATTAGACCTAATGATAAGCCGTGGATGACGACTGAATTGAGAAAATGTATTCGATTACGAGATAGGTTACACAAAAAATGTAGAAGTATGAATGATATTGATAAAACTTGTTTTAAAAGAGCTAGAAACCGAGTAAATTATATGAAAAAGCATGCACGAGAATCATTTTATGCTAATATAGACGGTCTTATTGATAATTATGTAATATCAGATCCTAAATTATCTGGAAACTGTTGAGGCGGTTAATTAAATCAGGCGGTAAATCTAATGAAATTCCACCATTAGTTGATCCACAAAATGGTAGTATTGTATATGATGATTTTGAAAAGGATGAGACTTTAAATAATTATTTTTCTTCTTTCTCAGAATGGATGACAGTGATGCTAGATTTCCTTCCCTTGATCTTAGAATTAATTCTTCCTTGGCTTCCATACAATTAAACCATTCGGAAATAAAAGACGTTTTGGAAGTATTAACATTAGGTAAAGCTCCTGGTACAGATGGTATTAGTCACCATATGTTACGACACACTGCAAAAACTATATGTAAACCTCTTCAAATATTATTTAATATGTCATTGTCTAAATGTATATACCCGACTTTGTGGAAACAGGCTATAGTAATGCCCTTGTACAAAAAAGATGATAAACATCTTTACTACCAGATGTAGGAAAAGTTTTTGAACGAGTAATTGTCAAACATATTCACAACTACTTTTTTGAAAACTCATTATTTTATTCAAGACAATCTGGATTTATGTCTAATCATTCCACTGTGCATCAGCTAATCGAAATCTATCATAATATATGTTTAAATCTTGAGGAAAAGAAACATACTTGTATTATCTTTTGTGACATATCAAAGGCTTTTGATAGAGTTTGGCATAAGGGTCTGATTGAAAAGCTTAAATCTTATGGTATTACAGGAAATTTCTTGAAGTGGTTAATTAATTATCTACAGGCCCGACAACAAAAAGTTTTTATTGGTGAATCATTTTCGAATAGTCAGTCATTAAAAGCTGGGGTACCTCAAGGCTCGGTGTTGGGCCCGATTTTATTTCTAATCTATATCAATGATATTTCCGAAAATTTAATTAGCGTATCTAGACTTTTTGTTGATGATACTTCTTCAATATTTGGTTCTAACAACTGCAACGAAATTGAACGAGTAATGAATCATGATCTTCAATGTATAAATGCATGGTCTAAGCAATGGTTAGTTACATTTATTTCTAATAAAACAGATGTTCTATATATCTCAAATATTTAAAAAAATCAAGATCTGGAGCTATTGTTTGGCGACAGCATTTTAAATTTTTCTGAAAACCATGAGCATTTAGGGGTAACTTTTAGTGCAAATGCTAAATGGGGTGATCATGTTGAAAATATTTATAAAAGTGCTTCAAAACGAATAAATGCTTTAAGACAATTAAAATTTCTGGTGAATAGGAAAGTTCTTAGTAAAATATATACATATTTCATTCTACCTATAATGGAATATGCTTGTGAACTCTGGAGTGGTTTATCTAAATTCCATATTGATTTGTTAGAAAAACTTCAACTGGAAGCTGCTAGAGTAGTAACTGGGTTTCCAGTATATGCAAGTTCTCAATCTTTATATTTTGAAACGGGATGGGACACTTTGAATATCAGAAGAGAACGAAGAAAGCTAACTTTATTTTACAAAATGCACAATAAACTAACACCGTCATATCTTTATACATTACTTCCAGGTTTAGTATGTGATAGAACTCCATATCCCCTTAGAAATAATAATAACTATACCATGCATAACTATATTCTTTCCAATACTAGATCATCATATATACCAGCAACTATAAAAAAAAATGGAATAATTTATCAGAAACCACTAGAAATCAAACTACAGTTAGTCCATTCAAAATGCCATAGCTCCGGAACATCATAAGCCACCTTGTTTCTTTAATCACGGACCCCGTCGCCTTAATATCTTATTAACTAAACTTAGACACAATTGTAGCCAACTGAATTATGATCTCTTTAGTGTGAACCTTGTAGAATCTCCTTTTTGTGCCTGTGGCCTCCCCTGTGAAAACTCATACCATTATCTTTGCCAATGTCGAATGTACAGGAACATCAGACATGAAATGTTAAATAAGTTGATACCATATCATCCTGTGCACCTAGAGCTACTATTGTCCGAAAGGTTGAATTATCAAATGTTGACAATGAGCGTATTTTTGAAATTGTTCAGACTTTTATTTATTCAAGTGACCGTTTCTAAACAAAACTTCGTGTAAACAGGTATATGTATCTAATCTGTCATAATCTCTTCTCTCCTAAACCTCTCATTCTGCTCTGTAGGTCTATAGAATAATTAAAAGTGTTACTGGTTCAGCAAATTGTATATAAATATTTTTTCTTTTCAAACTGAAATAATTCCGCTGCATGGCACTTTGATATGTTACCTAGAAGGAACAGGATTGACTCGAGGAAGGATTCTAAGGAATGTGTTTTATATGGACAAACGAATAGCTGATGTAAAAAGAATGTGTAGCTAGTGCGTGCCATGCAGTAGTTTAAGTTTAAGTAGTTTCAAAATATTCATACTTTGAATGAACCTTTTGTATCATTCGAAATATACTCTACTCATCTCTATGATCTCTTCTGTCTTTCAAAACTCTCTTGTTATTTTATTTTATTTTTTCTTCTATGTTCCTTGTTTTCATACAATTATTTTGATTGGCATATGTCGCTATCACTATCAATGTAATATTATAGTTGAGGAGAGGGCTTCTATAAGTTGTTATAACTTGTGCCCAATCCATTTGATTATATCAATAAAATATGTTTAAATCAAAACAGAAAAAATGAAGACAACAAATTCATTGTAATGCAATTTCCCATCGACTACAAAATAATTGTTCAAAGAAATTGAAAAATAGAAAATAAGTGAAAGTCCCTAATAAGACCTCGTATATATGTCATTATTATATGCTTGAACATTACTCGCAATCACATTGGTCGGACCCTATACACGTGACCAGTCCTCAAAAACTCATGTAGACTGGTTATAGCCTATATGTTGAACTTCCCCGGAACCTGTCGTAGCGCATACGCAGTTAGAACGAAACGCGATATATCAGACGCCAATTCCAATAGAAGATGGCCACCGAACACGCAGTGCGTGTCCTCTATGCTAAACGTAAGGAAATGAACCTTGACGATGTCGTCGAAAACTATGATGCCGAACTGTTGTATTCAACACAGGCTAAACTTACACGAAGACTCCTTCTAGTAAAGGTTAACTATACACAATTTTATTGTAGAAGCATATAATAAAACAGTTATGGGCTTTTGTGCTAGTAAATATGATGTGATATGAACCTGAACAAATTATATTAACCTTGGCTTCGCCTCGGTTAATATCGCCTTTTCAGGTTCATATCACATTATATTCACCAGCACAAAAGTCCATAATTGTATAATATTACATGCATCAGAGTTCCACTGAAAAAATCTTAACTCTTCACTATTGATTATCAAAGATATGACAGGTCATTGTCGTTAATTTTTATGTGATTGTCGGAGGGTTCTCTGACCTTGCCCAGGTTTTTGTAGATTGTAAGCAGGCTGTCTACCGCTCATTCTATTATATTCATAATGTCCTACAGCAGTTTGTCTGTCACACCCATCTTTTTGCAGATTATCAGCAGTTTGTACCTGTTACAAATACCATTTGATCACGCGCTGTCCTTTCATTCAACCATGTACCATTTGACGTGATGCCGTACAGTTATGTGACCATTTACCATTTAGTTAAATGAAAAAAAAGATGTGTCATCTTTTCTGTATACTTCTTTTATTAATAAAGCCCATGTCTGACGATAGTTCCTGTGATCCACGTAAATACTGCACGTGAAAATCATGTGTCCACATAATTCAAGTCCATTCGCATGTTTCTCGCGCCGTGTCTGTGTTGTTAATGTCTGTGTTATCCGGTCCCTGTTAACAGAGAGACGTGACGACTTGAGTGTTCGGGGAGAAGTGAAGGCCAACATTAATGAGGAGTTTTAACACTATTCAATGTAAGTACAAGGCAATATCTGACATGTCCTTATATGGGTAATAAACGGAAACAACTTACAGCTAAGCAGCGTCTTTATAACAAAATTGGAATGTTGAGCTTTGTTCCTGTCTATCAACCAGACACGTGTAGACAGAACGATTTGCTCTGTAAATGTCCATATATATACTTATTGTATTTCTAATTTATAACAAATGTTTCAAAGACACAACTTACCGCATGTGGGAGAGCGACAGAGTTCATGTGTTCAATAATATCCACCTTTACCGCCGTAATGTACGGTACGCCTAACTGTAAACAACAAAACAACAATATGTCACTTCTAACTGTAAACAACATAGCAACAATATGTCACTCCTAACTGTAAACAACAAAACAACAATATGTCACTTCTAACTGTAAACAACATAACTACAAAATGTCACTCCTAACTGTAAATAACAAAACAACAAAATGTCACTCCTAACTGTAAACAACAAAATAACAATATGTCACTCCTAACTGTAAACAACATAGCAACATTATGTCACTCCTCACAGTAAACGACAATATGTCACTCCTAACTGTTAACAACATAACAACAATATGTCACTCCTCACAGTAAACAGCAAAACAACAATATGTCACTCCTAACTGTAAACAACATAACAACAATATGTCACTCCTAACTGTTAACAACATAACAACAATATGTCACTCCTAACTGTAAACAGCAAAACAACAATATGTCACTCCTAACTGTAAACAACATAACAACAATATGTCACTCCTAACTGTTAACAACATAACAACAATATGTCACTCCTAACTGTAAACAGCAAAACAACAATATGTCACTCCTAACTGTAAACAACATAACAACAATATGTCACTCCTAACTGT